TGCAAACGCATGTTTTTATATCAATCTACTGGTGTCCAATTAGTGCTCTAAAATAGAGTGGGGCATATAGAAAATAACGATGATCAAGATGATATCAGATATATAGTCGTAATAAGACAATGCTAATAAGATGGGCATGAGAATAAAGATAATTATGATTTAATTCATTTAGCAATGACAGTAATGGTAATCATAATCCATTGTAAGATACAATAATAACAATTATATGATAGATAAATGATAATTTGATTAGTAAAAAGAATGATAATAGTAAAATTAAATAAATGATATCTAATGATAATGATAATATATACTAAATAATATAATAATTAGTATTAACGGGAATGATATATGATGATCATAATATCATAAGAATAACTGATAAAGATGTATAATAATGATTATCGATAACCAACTCATAATGTAAATGAGATATACTAATAATCATGATAATGATAATAATAGTGGATATACTAGCAATAACATAATGCTAATGATAGTGAATAACAATAATTGACTACTGAGCGCATAAAAACAATGACAATAAGTAATATGAATAATTCATATTAATTATATAGTATAATGATCAATAGTATACAAAAACAAAAATATCTATATTAATATAAATAATCACGATGATATATAATGAGAAATAAAACAATCAGTTTGGCTATAATGGATATCCTTCCACAAAAAGCATGGAATATTTATAGTCAAATGCCAATACATAATGTGACGTATATGTAAAATTTTTAATGTTGTGTTTATATTTGTTTTTATTTTTTTTTCTTTTTTTTTTCTTTGTTCTCTTCTTATATTATATATATATTATTATATATATATATTATTATTATATTACTTATATTATTATACTATATTATATATACACTATACATATAAATATATATATTTATTTATTAATAGTATTTATATATATAATATATTTATATATATATCTATATATATAATATGTATTATACCATACATATCATACGATTACAGAGCAACAATACTTCAATAGCATATAGCTAATAACATATATATATATTTATCTATCTCATATCTATTCTATCTACTCTATCGTACTGCTATCTATCGTATCGTATCTAAAATATATTATATAATTAGGGAAGTAAAATATTATATATTATATATATACTATATAGTATATATATATATAATATATATATATACAGTAGTATATGTATGAAAATTATGTGTAATGTACATGTATTAATTATAACATATATACATATCATTACATCATATTAAGTATGAATAGGAGATGTAATAGTATATAATAGTATATAGATATGCTATATATACATTATGTATAGTTAATATATGTATATTATATATATATGTTACAATAATAGTATATATATATGTTATTATATATAATATATATAATATAATTATATTATTAGTTATTAATTATTATCTATAAGCTATATAGTATATGCATTATGTATTGTATTTTTTTTTTTTTACATATTAACATAGTATTATTATCTCAATATATACATCTATCACACATACGAGAATCACATATTATATAGTATTGTGTAGTTTGTTGTGGTGAATTTAATTAAATATGATATAGAGTACAATATTGTACATACTATGTGCATTTTACTTAATTATATTATATATGATATATATATGTGTGGGTTGGTGTTCACAATATGGATACGTATATATCGTTTGACTTAAACTCGACACAAATTCAGAATACGAAATTAAGCCAATTCGCAATCACGAATACCTGGTTCTCCACAGGAAAGTCCGCGTCATCCCTACAAACCAAGTGACAAAGAAAAATTAATGTCTCGCGATAAACAATCATCCGAAAGTGAAATGGATTCCTGAATTTATTTATTTCGGAAGCTTTTGTAACGAAAAAAAAAAAAGTCACAGTTACGTTTTGTTTAGAGAATCGCCACGGGACCTTTGTGGCTCTGAATGCTTTAGTCTTCAATTGGCAAGGAACGTTTTTTTGTTGTTGTTGTTGTCGTTGGTGCACCCCGCCCACTCCTGCTTTTGTTGTTGTTGATATTGTTGTGGCATCTTTCGTGGTTTTTATTCGTTTCGTTTCTTTTTTTGTTATTTCTTCGCTGGTAATCTTAACGTTCTGGTTTATTTTGTCTAGGTACTTCTTACATATTATTTTAAAGTGCTTAAATACTGTGCAGGAAAGAAGCGAGGAGGAGAAGAGAGGAGAAGAAAGGAGAGAGAGAAGAGAAGAGATTAGAGAGAAGAGAGAGAGAGAGAGAAGAAGAAGAGAGAGAGAGAGAGAGAGAGAGAGATGAGAAGACAGACAGACAACAGAGCATAATGAGACAGAGAAGAACAAATGAGACAGACAGACAGAACAGAAGT